TAGATACTATATTAAACTGAAGTCAAAGATCACAGGCAACAGCAATTTCGTAGATTGTAAGTGACACACGATCTTGATTTCCTGTTTGTTATTAATAATAGCAATATGCCCATTGACTCCCACCTCTCTATAAGGCTGTAGGCTGTGGTGTGCTCAAGGGCCAGAAGCCCAGACTTTAGCATCCTAGGCTTACCTGAAGACACCCTCCATGCTCAGGCACCTGGCAGGGAAACTTCACCATGTCCCCTGGCAGAAAGCTCTGATGTGTCTTAGATCAGTCACCATAAGTCTCAAAAGGCTGCCGAAACCTACTTTTCCTCTCTTTTCTCTTCCGGTGAGATCCCCCGCTCTGCACTCTCTCTCCCGACTACCTACTTCTGTTTTGTCTTTTTAAAACAGGCCTGGCCTGGTGGCTCATGCCTGTAATCCCAGCACTTTGGGAGGCTGAGGCAGGCAGATCACCCAAGGTCCAGAGTTCGAGACCAGCCTGGTCAACATGGAGAAACCCTGTCTCTACTAAAAATACAAAAATTAGGAGTGGTGGCACAAGCCTGTAATCCCAGCTACTTGGGAGGCTGAGGCAGGAGAATCACTTGAACCTGGGAAGTGGAGGTGGCAGTGAGCCAAGATCACATCACTATACTCCAGCCTGGGCAACAGAGCGAGACTGTCTAAAAAATAAATAAATAAATAAAGGCCAGGCATGATGGTTCACACCTGTAATCCCAGGATTTTGGGGGCCTGAGGTGGGCAGATCACGAGGTCAGGAGTTCAAGACCAGCCTGGCCAACATAGTGAACTGCCGTCTCTACTAAAAATATAAAAATTAGTCGGACGTGGTGGTGGGAGGTTGAGGCAGAAGAATTGCGTGAACCTGGAAGGCTGAGATTGCAGTGAGTCGAGATCATGCCACTGCAATCCAGCCTGGGCGACACAGCAAGTCTCTGTCTCAAAAATAAATGAATAAATAACCACCCACAAGTGTTTCAAACGGTTTGTAGTTTACAAAGCACTTTCTCCTAGACTTCTCCCAATACCCTGTTAGTAAAGCAAGACAGTTGGTCACTTCTTTTTATTGTATAGCAATGAGAAAGCTAAATTCTTGGAGAAATGAAGGGCCCGCCAACATCCAATGTCTCAGGTGTGGTTTGGGTATAGACATGGAGCTTCTTCCTCCACTCACTACCAATTTTCCTCCCAGCTGCACTCAGGGGGCTACTTAATTACAGGGGAGAACATTATCTCCTAGTGAGGATTAGATATTAAGTGACATCCTTTGCAGTTGGTGCTTTGAAAACCTCCTGGCTTGGAGAATATGAAGACATTTCTTTGCCAGATTTCTGAGAGCAGTGATACCATGACCACGAAGGTAACCAATCACAAAGTCCACCATGCCCTACCCAAAGAAGGCATGTTTCTATTTTATAATTTTTAAAAACTGTATGAGTTTTTAGACTTGAAGACCAGTCACACAGATTAAAAATTAAATAACATTTCCCAATTAGGAAAGTAGTTTGATTCATACTGTCCTATACATCTTCATTGATTTCTTCCTTCCTTCTTTTCTTCTTTCTCTCCTCTCACATTTATTAAGTCCACACTATGTGCCAGGCCCTGTGCAGTATGAGGCAGCCTATATGTGTGCTTTGCTTTCAAAAGTATTCAGAAGTACAGAGATAAATTTCAGGAATGCCATGGCTTTTGGCAGTTCACTAATTCATTTGAAAAGTGCTTGGATGGTTTAAGCCTATGGTTTTCAGCCTGAGCGGCATGTCAGTATCACTGGGCAGCCAGGCCTGGCTTCATGGACCTGTGACCGGTGCATTTGCACAGGGTCCGATGTTCAGAAGGACCTGCACTTGGTTTATTTCTCTGTGGTTGGTCACATTTTTGAACAAGGAGTCCTGCACTTTTACTTTGCACCATGCTCTGCAAATTATGTAGCCAATCCTTTGGGCAGCTTTTAAATATGTCAATGTGCAGGCTGTACCCAGACCAATTCGTCAGAATCTCTGAGGTAAGGCCCAGGCCTCTGGACTCTGTAAGTCTCTTCAGGTGATTCCAGTGGGCAGCCAGCTTTGAGAACCACTGAGGTAGAACAGAACTTCTCAACTGGAGTCTTCTTGTGTGTTGTGGAAGACATCAGATTTACTTGGAGCACTTTTCCAAACTCCACACGTTGATATATAGAAACTGATAAATACACTGACTTCCAAATATTCTGATGCCACCCAGCTCCCAGGCAGGAGGCTTACATAAAGGACATCTGCCTATGAAACAGTATCACTTCTTTTGCTCTCACCTGGATATTGAGTTGCTGTGATAGTCACTCTATATGACTTGTTTGGACCTGCATATTTGGGGCATGATAGTCCCTGAACTATATCTTCATATCTATGTAGCTTTATTCCCCATGGCCCTGCTAACTGAAACATAGCTATCTAGAGGCAGTATGGCAGGAAGAGATGGGTATGGACAACAACCCTGGCTGTGACTCCCACCTGTGTGATTGGGACATGTTTTCCTAGTGCCTCAGTTTCCTTATTATTTAAATGGCCATAGTAATACCTACCTCCCAGGAGTGTTGTGAAGATTGAATAAGTCACACAAAGTGCCTAGCACAGTTCCTGGCACATAGTAGGTGGTTAATAAATGCATGTTTGTGTACTGTCTCCTTCACAAAGAAATATTAACACACCTTTACCCTCAACTATCAACTCTGGCTTCTTTCTAAAAGAAAATAGAGCCCATTATTATGGCAACAAGGAAGAAATAGTAACTAATATTCTTCCATTAGTATACTTATCAAATATGTAATTTGTGTTCATTTAGCTCATAGTTTTATATATATATAGCATACATATATGCTATATATATGCTATGTATCTACACGCATACATATATACACTACATATATACATGCATACATATATCTAGACACATATATACATACATCCACATATATATACACACACTTATATACACACACGTATGTGACAGGTCTGTATTGTCTAGTACTTTTCTTTAAATTTTACTCATTTTAATTACGAAATAAATTAAGCTATTGTAGTGTTTGTCTATAGAAGATGATGCTGCAGTAAATATATTTTTAACATACAAATTCAAATACTGGTACTTCTACTTCTGGATAAAGCAGAGATAAGAATCTTCAGCAGTTCGTAACCCAAGAGTGAGCAAGGCAAAAGCCAAACATATAATAATAAATATGATACAACAACTTTTACTGGCATATCTGCTATGTGCCAAGCACCACAGTGGAGTGGATGTGCAAGCTACAAACATGAATGAGACTTGGTCTGACCTCCAGCAGTTCACCAAAAGAGCATATGATTCAATGTGAAAACCAGTGTTGCAGCCAGGTGCAGTGGTGCATACCTGTAGTCCCACCTACTCAGGAGGCTGAGGCAAGATGATTGCTTAGCCCAGGAGCTCAAGTATAGCATGAGCAACATAGTGAGACCCTGTTTCAAAAAAAAAAAAAAAAATAGAGGAAGGAAGGAAGGAAAGGAGGGAGGGAGGGAGGGAGGGAGGGAGGTAGGAGGGAGAGAGAGAAAGGGAGGAAGGATGGGAGGAACGAAAAAGAACAGCCCCCCAAAACAAATAGTGTTATAAATGATATTTATCTGAGTGTTAGGTCCATATTGAAATCTTCCTAATGGTGCTTAACCCACCTCTACTCCAGCCCCAGTTTCTATCAAGTTCTGTTGACTCTGGAGCAGTTTTTCATAATAGTCCTTTCATACAGCTTCCTTCCAATCTTTTTTTGCAGCAAGAAAACAAAAGGAACTCCCAAATGAATCACAGGAGCAATGTTAACTTGCCTTTCTAATATGGCGAGTAATTTCTCTGATTGCTCAGTTTGCTCCAACATTTTCTTCCAGAATCGGAAAGTGAGAGAGAAAGTTTTCCCAGCAGAAAGCCATGTTTCTTCTGCTGCTCTTACAAGTAGACACTTAACTGCTTCACATGAAAGAATTGGAAGTTACCAAGCCAAATTAAATCATAAAATAACTTTTGAAAGCATGTTAAACAGGATTCAACAGATTTTTTTTTTTTAGGCAGCTATGAAGTAGTGTCACCATAATTGTTTTTACTGTTGGTGACTTTACTGTGAAAATGTTTCAATGTTGTGGCATGCATGGAGGTGTGCAGCTCATGCCTGTTTGGAGAAATAACTTGCTCTTCATCTGCCAAAAGTGCAGTTAGCTGACAGCCTCCAGCTGCAGCCCCATCAGGGTCAGCCCTGGCTTTCCTGCAGAGGCCCAGCTCTTCCCAGCAGCCCCCAGCCAGTGACTGAGCATGGCAGAGATGTGAGGGCCGGGCTGCTTCTGCAATAGGAACTCTGCTATGGCTCTCCCTTTTGGGTTAGCTGGGATTTCATCAGGTCTGCGTGGTGATCTTGGGCTGTCTGCCCAATCCTGCTTCCTCTCACTTTTATCTTTCACAAGTGAACCTCTTCCCTTCCTAACTCCTCAGTGTCTGTTTTCTGGGGCACCCAGTAAACACAAATGCTCTCCCAGCAGTGTAGGAACACAAACAGTATACATCTCATTCAGAGGGCCAAGGTATCTGAACATGTCCCCTATCCCCTGAATGTTCTTGCACCAGGATCTGCTCAAAATGAATCATGATCCTGCCAAAGTGAAACTGACTCTTTCATTTCCATTATTCAGCTGGGACACAATGGAAAAATTAAATGTGGGGAGAAACAAACTCATATATATTCTGAAATTCCACTTTAGTTACCCAAACTCTTTCTAAGTATCAAGGTAAGGCATGTACTTTAGTAATCCTTTTGTGTTTGCCATGAACTGGTCACAGCCAAAACAATATAGTTACAATGAGAGAAGACTGTTTCAATTCCCGCCACTTTAATCACAATTCCACTTGGAGCACCATTGTTCTCCATTAGATGCCTTCCCTCTTGGTTCCACAGACTGAGAAGGAAGAGGATATTAATGGCATTTTTGCTGTTGCAGGGGAGTTTGGAGAAGTGTACAAGGGGCGTTTGAAACTGCCAGGCAAGAGGGAAATCTATGTGGCCATCAAGACCCTGAAGGCAGGGTACTCGGAGAAGCAGCGTCGGGACTTTCTGAGTGAGGCCAGCATCATGGGCCAGTTCGACCATCCCAACATCATTCGCCTGGAGGGTGTGGTCACCAAGAGTCGGCCTGTCATGATCATCACAGAGTTCATGGAGAATGGTGCATTGGATTCTTTCCTCAGGGTAAGAGCAACTCAGGGGTTTGATGATGCACTTGGATGCAGGCGAATGGTGGCTGGGGAGAGGGGTTCCATGAGTACAACCTACCATTCAGGAATCGCCTGATCCAGTGTGAATGGGCATTGGAGATGTTAGCAGAGATTTGTTGCTGAAAGAAGAGAACAAAACAGTGCTTGTGGGATCCTCAGGAGGAGGATGGCATGGAGTAGGGCATTGACAAATGCTTGTTGGATGAATAAAATGAATAGAGAGGGGCAAAGAATGGCCATTGGCATCTGCATGAATCACAGAGATTGAAGAGACTTTTGGCTGCTGTATAGCCCTGTGTGATTCATGCAGACAGCCGTGGCCATCTCTGCCTTTCACCAGCACAGCCACCCTCCCAGACTGCTCTGCATTTACAGGTTCATTTACAAGGCTGTGTCACAAGCATCCATGGGTATTTCTGTGGTTGGTGAAGATTCCCAACCAACTTGCAGCAGAAGTAGGGAGTTGCTGAAGGCCTTTGGCTGGGAGACCTGTAAAAGATCATTGTCAGAATATGCCCAAAGTAGAGCCAGGCCCACAGTGAAACCGTTTTCATTTCCGTAAGCTATCACTGAGCACCTAGATGAAGGGTGAGTGAGAATGGCCATGATGCTGATATCTGGGGAGTGGAAGCTGATAGCTTCAGCCAGGAAGCAGAAACTGAGAGCAGAGGGTCCAGTGGGCAGCATCAAAGAATGGGCAGGGCCTTCTGAGCAGGAACTTCAGGGTGATACCCAGTAGCTGGCTACATTACCAAAGCAACCAAACAATAGCTGTGGCTGCAGATTAAAGGGTCAGTCATGGACACATTGCTGGGATCACTGCTCTGGCCAGGCCCTATTCTGGATGTTGTGCCTATAGAGATAAAGGAAACCTTGCTCTAATGCTACATAACAAATCATCCCCAAGACCTCAGTGCCTTAACACAACAACAATTTCTTTAGATCATGAATCTGTAATTTGGGCAAGGTTTGGGAGGGACACCTCTGATCCATGTGGAGTCAGTTGCAGTAGCACAAGGGCTGAGGCTTAGAATTGTCTGAAGCCTCCTTCATTCATATATTAGGTGGTCAATGTTGAGTGTCAGCTGCCACCTTTCTAGGTGGCCTGCTTGGACTGCCTTAGAGCAAGCTGGGTCTCAAGAAAAAGCATCCCAAGAGAAGAATGGGCAATCTGTGTTACTTTTGTGACTCAGGCTGGGAAGCCACATAGTGTCATTTCCAACATAGTGACAGGCCCAGATACAAGGGGAGAAAACAGGCCCCACATTTTGATGAAGGGACATCAACTCAATGTCTTCTTACACATGATAGCTGGGAGCTTTTGTTATGTTCATCTTAGAGAGTACCGCCTGCCACCAATGTAGTCCCTACTCCTGCTAGTGCCCAACGCTTCTAGCAATCATTTGCCTATCTTATACTTTTTCCCCCATGAGTTAAGTACAGATGTAGTAAGTGGAGAAGTTCTTAAATCTCCCTGGAGAATCTAGGGGAGGCTTCAAAGAGGGGGAAGAATTTATCTGAGATCAGAGAAGAGGAATTTGTCAGACAAGCAAGAAGCAGGCAGGTAGGCTGATGGAACAGCAAAAATAGTGTATATGAAGGCCAGAGTAAGTGTGGACCTGTTTGGTAATTTATCAACCCCAACATGGTAGCTCCAGCACTCAGAAACAGAGCTTAGGGGCTGTAGTGTGGAAGGGTAGCTGGGGCACTTGTCTAGAAGCACACTGCTGAAGCTACCTTTGTACAACAGGAACATGCTTTTTGCCCAGTCTGGGTCACTAGGCAGTAGTGGCATTTGTTTTCTGGGGGTGCAGGGGTGGGGAACAACTGATGTAGATTATTGGGCCCATGCACCTTCCCTAGGACAGCCTCCTTGAGGGTATAGGGTCATGCTTTGTATTTGGAAACAAACATATATACCTAACACAGTGCACACCTGGTAAATGCTAGTTGACTGAAAAATTATTTCTCAAACAAAAATGCTAGGGAGTGGCATGAGAGCTCCAGTCATCCTGTGTGTACATTATCTCTCACTGTCCTTGCTGCCACACCTCTCATGTCAGTGCAAGGCATTGTCTATGCTTTCCTGGAGACATTCATTTATGATCAGAGATCTCATGAAGATAGCTGAATAAACAAAGTTGAATAAACTTGAATAAAAGGCAATGTGAGAAGAAAAGCATTTTCTGGAACCACTGTCAAGACCCTTTTGGGAGTCATTTATTTCCTACCAGTCAACTGATTGGACTTCAGAGAGAGCCACTGCTTGATTTGGGGACTGTGATCACACTCCGTCACTGGAGTGTGTAGGAGAACAGGGAGATTCATTCTCAGGAGCCTGCAGAAAATCAAAACCCTACACTGCTGTTCTTCCTAGGGTCTGTTTTCATTTGGGGCCCAGGTCACGGAGGCATGTTGGACACCAGCATTTCTCATGATGATGAGCTGAGCTTGCAGGGGAAGAAAACCTGGGGGCAAGAGAGGAGCACGGGAAAACAGAGAAGCAGGCATGGTAAGAAAGGAGTGGTGGGAGCAGGCAGTGCCAGGAGGAGAGAGGGAAATGAAGCGTTTCTGACTCCTCACACTGCATGGAGGCAGGTAATCTATAAATCTAATTTCAGCCTTACTACCGAACCCTGGAGCATAGCAACATTAATTGACGTATCTGCTGCTTGATAAAATCGAAAAATAGGTCATCAGTTCAGTTCTACAGGGTCCATCTTCTGGGAAGTAGGATAATTTTAGGATCCCTACTCAGAGAAGAAAGGAAAAGGATTAGTCCCAACTGTTTCCTCCCCTCCAACTTCTCCTTTCCCCCGGTCATAGCATCTTTGGAGAGTGGTTACAGTTCTAGCCCTGAATCAGCATGTGAGAGATACCATTATGCTTCAATCACACATTCAGTAGATGGTTCATTATTACTAATTTTCTAAAAATTATTGTGCCGTGGATTATATAGCATACAAATCCATAACTGAATTTTTCCTTCTTGACACTCAAATTCAAGGACTTCAACCTAGTGGCTCTTCCCTAATATTAGGAACAATTCCTGAAGCTGTGGCCAGTATCCCATGGTTTAGTTAACATGGTTCTTGACATGCTCCATAAGGCCTTCTTGCCTAAAGCTTGGCTTTGCGGTTGCTGCTGGTTCTTCCACAGATAATCATAACTGGAAGACTCTTGAAAGTCACTGAGTAATGTCAAATGGGGACATTTCTCATCAAGAAGCTCATTCATGGGCTGTAGCTAGAAGATAGCAACCCAGAAATCACGAAGAGAACACCAGATTGGAAGTCCTGAGACCAAGGTTCTGCTTTGGCTTCTGCTGTGAGTCACCCTGTGACCTGGAGCAAACCTGTTAACTCAATTTCCCAATTTATAAACTAAAGGCATTGAGCTAGGTGAGCTCGAAAGGTCCCTTTCAGTTAGAAAAAATCTATGATTCATTTTCTTCGAACAAATCAAATAAGGATTTCATTTCCTGAAGTGGATTCGTCAATGAAAGTTGAAATACCTAAATCCTTCCTGTCTAATATAAGGACCAGCAAGTGGCTTCGGTGCATTTGCAGAAAAGCAATTTCAGCAGAAAGCACTTCATGAAGGAAGGAAGGTTTAAATCACCTGACCTAGACCTGTATTTCTTCTCTGTGCTATGCTTTTACTATGTGCTCAGCATGGAGCCAGGTCCTTTCCCAAAGTCACCAAGAAATCAGTTTGTGTGTGTGTGTGTGTGTGTGTGTGTGTGTGTGTGTCTTGTTCATCTTTGAATGCTACTGTTCATATCTCTGGAAGTTCTTTTTGGAGAATTATACCAATCAACTGAGCATGTAACAGTTAAACATGCCAGAAAAATCTTAATATGTTTTTATCTCTAAATTTCACCAAGGTTACAAATTCAACAGACATAACCCTACCTATCTTGATATGTGGTTCTCTTGAAGATTCTAAAGAAAATATGTTGCCCGTTGCAGAGTCAGCACATTCCAATGGCAAAAGCACGAGACAGGAGTTAGAAGACCCAGATAAGACTAGCATCACTAATCCATCATGGTTCTTCTCCCTGCAAAGCTGATGCACAGCGTTTTTCTCCACACAGCATTTGAGGCCACCATTACCAGTTGATCAGAGATGGGCTGTCAGTGGAGAAGTGATTTACCATTCTGAACTTTGATTACTGATATAACTCAAAACCACACCGTGATTTAAGGCTGATCACATACATTTTCTGGACCTCCTTTATGTTGTCTGTAAAAACAATATAATATTGCCTGCCTTGCCTACTGCACAGGACCAATTTTAGGGATCAAAACATATCAAAACATGTAAAGTATTATTTACCATTCAAAAGTCAAGTGACGGATGCTACCCACATTTGTGACTAGTTGATCCGAAGTTTAGGCCTGCATCATTAGGTCCCAACCATCTACTACAATTACAGATGCCTATCTGTTACCTACTGAGCTCAGCATGTGCTGAGTACTGGGCTCCCCAAGAACAATGATCCCAGGATGTTTCCCCCACACACCCAGGAAGCCATGAGAACCAGAGTTCTGGTCCCAGATGTCCTCAGTCTCGCTCACCACGCACATCTGAGGTACACGGAAACTGAATTGTGAGCCGTTACTAAGGCTCTGCTGATATTAGCAGGGATCACTGCTACCATCTTAGGGCCCACAAGGCACTGAGCTAGGACCTTTCATATGTGTTATCTCTTCTAGTCTCACCAGAACCCTATGAAGAATGGACACTATGTTCTTATGTTATAGGTGCGGAAATAACTGCTCTACAGGTTAAATAACTTGCCCAAGCCCACACAACCACTAAGCTGCAGAGCCTGGATCCAAATCAGGTCTGCTGGTTCCAAAGCCTGGACCTTCAATCATTTCTTGGTCTTTTTTGACCCAAGAAACTATAAGGATGACTAATCTAAATTTTAAAACAAATCGGATAATAAATAAGCTCTAAGAAGACTTAAACAACAAAGCAAAAACGTAAACACATTGCTGTATGTGCTTTCAACATTACTCTTCTCAAAGTTGTTTAAGCCACCCCAATGCTCTCCCCAAATGCTATCTTTTTTAGGGAGACATTCCATATGTGTAGATACTGTTGCCTACACTTACAGAGAGGAAATAATAGACTGAATTGAAAAAATACAAGCCATGTGACTTGTGGCTGAGATACACCTCTGTAATATACAGAAATTGCATGACAACTTTCTGAAGAGGCAAATCCACAGAGACCTACTTGGAGAAAACACTTGGTGCTAGCAACAGCCTGGCTAACTTCTTGAGAAGGTGTTGATTGAAGTGTATTAGTGAGAAGGAAGATCCGCATCACTCACTGCACATCCAGCTCTCACAGATGGGCAATGTGCTGAAAACCAGTCAGAGTTTCCAAAAAGTAGCTCTATACTTTCTTTTTGAGTTGCTTAGAATAATCTGTTGTGGAGAAAGCATACATCCCTTCTCCTGGGCAGGTTGGGAGGTGGTTAAGGTTAGAGTTAGAAATAGCCTGGAACTTGGAGTATGTCAAATACAGTGTGTTTGGGAGCCCTTCTACTGGCAGACATCTCCAGGAGGGGAGAAAGTCAATTTGCTCTATTCCTTCAATTGATCAAGGAGCATAACCCCCAGAACATAGATCCAGGCTTACAATCTTGCATGAGGAACAGAGTTTCCAACAATTCATGCAATCATTGTTAGACTTTTTGATTGTTGTTGTTGTTGCTCATAAGTAGAGTATTTTTATAATAGGTCTTTTAGTTTTCCTTGCTTATTTTTGCATAGAAATGCTTTTGCAGTAGCATATGCATGTGAGTGCACTGTGTAACATCTTGCATACAGTAGATACTCAATGATGGGAGCTCTTCTCATTGTCTATGCTTTCTGGATTTCACATAAGGACTCTGGGACGCAGGTCATGGTTGTTTTGCCGAGTACCTGTGTTTAGCAGTAAACACAGAGTAGACCCCAAATGTCCTACTTCCACCTCTCCTCCAGTCAGAGCATTCTAATGACTAGGCTGTGCTCTACTTGTAGAACATAATTCTCAGCCCTTTGGGGAGCATTTGGGGCTGGACTAGATGGGGAAATATGTTCTTGGCAGTATAGCCTAGGGTCTACTGATTTAACTGGTGTGTACAAAGTCGAGACCCAGGAGCTTTGGGGAGACAGGAGGAAGACACTGTTTTATTCACTGAAGAGTCTGTTGTCTAACAGAGGGAGGGCATCCACCCAAGAAACTCTGAGCCCACAAATGATGGGAGAGAGGGCAGCACTGCAGGTTGCCATGAAGAAGAGCAGCAACAGCTCCCATTCACTAGGAGAGTTCCCTGTGCCAGACGCTGTGCATGAAGTTCTCCTGACCCACGGTCCCTATGAGGAAGGTGTGGTTATACCAGTCTAAAGGCTGAAAGCCCTGGGATTACCCAGAGAAGGTGCTTTACACGCTTGATTTTGGAAAGAGGAAAAGATGTGTTCATCATTCATTCAACTTATGTGTATTAAGATTTTCTATCTACCTTAAAGTTTACAGCACTGATAATACTATGGTGACCAAAGAAGACAGAGTTTTTGTCCTCAAAGAGTATAAAATCAAGCAGCAGAGACAGACAGACAGACAGATACACACATACGATTAAAACTTGTGATATGTGCTAAGAAGGAGACTAAGAGCGTGCACTAAACATTGTCATCAGAAAGTGCTAGTCGTATTTGAGGGAGGGGGCAGTTAAAGGGTTCCCTCTCTAAGAAAGTGATATTTAAGCGGAGAACTGAAGGGCGAGTAGATGTCGATTATTGGAGGGAAAACAGAGGAAATAGCACATGCTAAGGGCCCTAAGTCAGGAAGAGTTTGTGTTGGAAAAGAAGAAAGGGTGCCAGTCACTGTGGCTTTAGTACATTAGTGATGGATATGGTGGCCTAAGGTAAGGCAGTAGCTGATCCCAAGCGGTCTCATGGACCATGCTAAGGAGTTTGGAGATTTTTCTTAATGCAATGGGAGGCTATTAGATATTTTTAAGCCAGGGACTGACATGGCCTGATTTATGTCTTAAAATGATGGCTCTGGCTGGAGAGAATGGATTGGGGGGCGGGCAAGGAGGCTGTTATAGGTGATGGATGGCAGCGACTTGGTTGGACTGGCGGCAGTGGAGATGGAAAGAAGTAGATGGGTTTCAGATGTAATTTGGAGACAAAATTGACAGGGCTTGGCAAGGAGAAGAGAACAAAGCATTCATGGAGAGGGATGGGGGATGGGAGTAGGGGAGGCAGGAGGATGCAGTATGTGGCTCGGCCTGGAGCAGATGGAAGCTGACAAACAGCAGGGCCACAGCATCTCTCCCTCTGCTTAACCACTGAAGCCCGTCTTGATCCCAATGCCCTCTATGTCTTATTACAGCAAAATGATGGGCAGTTCACCGTGATCCAGCTTGTGGGTATGCTCAGGGGCATCGCTGCTGGCATGAAGTACCTGGCCGAGATGAATTATGTGCACCGGGACCTGGCTGCTAGGAACATTCTGGTCAACAGTAACCTGGTGTGCAAGGTGTCCGACTTTGGCCTCTCTCGCTACCTCCAGGATGACACCTCAGATCCCACCTACACCAGCTCCTTGGTGAGTCCTTCTTGGCATTCTCAAGTAGAAGCATGGCATGAGTGAAAGGGGACTCTGCGTGGCTGGGAACTGTGGCAGAGCACACTGGGAGGGAATGGGATCTGAACTGAGCTCTCCACTGAGAGACCAAGATGCCAGGAGGACTATCCAGCCAGGAGAAGCCATAGTAGCTGGTTGTTCAAGCAAGAAAGCAAGCATTTGGGCTTGGACTGTGAGGAAGGGACAGTGTCTCTTATGAAGCTATAGTGTTCCTTGGGAAGAGGAAATTTTGGAACAGCTGATTTGAGGGAATCCAAGCAGGTAGACAGTGGCACCAGAGGCATCTGTCAGCAGAGAGCAGACCCCAGGCATGCATGAGGCCTTTGATCTGCAGCTGGATTGGGCGCTGTGTCACCAGGTAGACTCTTGATCCCCTTCTCTCTTCTCTCTGTATTGCTTCCAAATATCTCTAAGTACCGTCTACACGATGAGTACTCTTAAACTTGTATTTCCTGCTCAGCCTCCCCCTCTACATTCTGAGCAGCACTAATCATCTATATCCAACTGCTTAGTTCACACAATTTCATTTAGAACTTTAACAAGCCCAAAATAGAGCTTGGGATTTACTCTCCAATATCCTCTCCCTAGTCCCTCCATCTCAGTAGTTGGCACCACTTAACTAAAAGATGAAACCTAGGAATGATCTTTGATTTCTTTCTGTGTCCATCTGTTTTAAATCCCTCAGCGACCCCCATAGGGTACCAAAAAATCTATCCCTCTGTCTCCATCTCTGCTTCCCCCAATCTATTCCAAAGCACTATTCCCTTTCACCTGGATTGTTACAGTGGCTTCCTAACTGGTGTCCCTGGTTTCCTTTTGTCTCCTTACATCCATTTCAACAGCACCCAAAGTGACTGATCTACCTACTTACCTGTCTACCTGTCCATCCTCTTTAAACCTGTGAAAGTAATGCATGATTATTACAAAAATCAAAACAATACAGAGAAGTAAAAGGAAATGCCAATTAGAATGGCAATCATTAAAAAGTCAGGAAACAACAGATGCTGCTGAGGCTGTGGAGAAATAGGAATGCTTTTACACTGTTAGTGGGAGTGTAAATTAGTTCAACCATTGTGGAAGACAGTGTTGTGATTCCTCATGGATCTAGAACCAGAAATACCATTTGACCCAGCAATCCTTTACTGGGTATATACCCAAAGGTTTCATTCTACTATAAAGACACCTGCACATATATGTTTTTTGCAGCACTATTTACAATAGCAAAGACTCAGAACCAACCCAAATGCTCATCAATGATAGACTGGATAAAGACTGTATATGTGGCACATATACACCATGGAATACTATGGAGCCATAAAAAAGAACGAGTTCATGTCCTTTGCAGGGACATGGATGAAGCTGGAAACCATCATTCTTAGCAAACTAACACAGGAACGGAAAACCAATCACTACATGTTCTCACTCATAAATGGGAGTTGAACAACGAGAACACATGGACACAGGGAGAGGAACATCACACACCAGGGCTTGTCAGCGGGTGAGGGGCAAGGAGAGGGAGAGCATTAGGACAAATTCCTAATGCATTCAGGGCTTAAAACCTAGATGATGGGTTGATAGGTACAGCAAACCACCATGGCACACGTATACCTATGTTACACACCTGCATGTTCTGCACATGTATTCCAGAACTTAAAGTAAAATTTTAAAAGAAAAAGAATAAAAAATAAACTAAAATTCCCCTGAGGCAGGGATTGGTAAAGTTTTTCTCAAAGGACTGTCTAATAAATATTTTAGACTTTGCTGGCTAAGAGGCAAAATGAAGGATATCATGTAGATAATTATATAACCATTTAGAATGTAACTAACCCCGTAAGAAGTTATAAATGTCATTCTTAGCTCATGGACTATTAAAAAAGGGACCAGCCAAGTTTAGCTTTCAGACCACAGTTTATCTACACCTGCCAATTTCAACTATTAGGTGTGCCTTCTTTGGAATTTTTCTCTTCGGTCAAAAATTTGAACATTTTTATTCTACAAAATTTGGATCATATTATGCCTATTCCTCTGTGATCTGGGGTGTCTTTTGGGCATCATTGCTGCCAAGATTACTTTTCTGAAAGTTAGCAAACATTCACACTCCACCGGGAATGTATGGTGCTGGGCTTCAGCATCCTCACCAGACCTGGAGGTGATCAGCCCTCACAAAGGGTTGCTGCTCCAACAATGAAAAATGATGCCTCATTTTAAAATTTCACATATGTCTACATTTTTAAAATTTTTAAATTTAATTTTTTGATTTTTAATTTTTGTAGGTACACAGCAGGTGTATATATGTAAAACGTTTATGAGATGTTTTGATACGGGCATGCAATGCATAATACATCATGGAAAACGTGGTATTCATTCTCTCAAGCATATATCCTTTGTGTTACATACAATCTCTTTTAGTTATCTTAATTGATTTTTTATTTTTTTTTTAATTTTTGGAGATGGAGTTTCACTCTTGTCATCCAGGTTGGAGTGCAATGGCATGATCTCAGCTCACTGCAACCTCTACCTCCAGAGTTCAAGAGATTCTCCTGCCTCAGCCTCCCAAGTAGGTGGGATTACAGGCACCCACCACCATGCTCAGCTAATGTTTTTGTATTTTTAGTAGAGATGGGTTTTCGCCATGTCGGCCAGGCTGGTCTCGAACTCTTGACCTCAGCTGATCTGGCCACCTTGGCCTCCCAAAGTGCTGGTGGGATTATAGGCGTGAGTCACCGCACCTGGCCTATTTATTCATTTTTTGAGACAGTCTTTAGTCTGTCATACAGGCTGGAGTGCAGTGGCGCGATCTCGGCTCATTGCAGCCTCTGCCTCCTGAGTTCAGGCGATTCTCCTGCCTCAGCCTCCCGAGTAGCTGGGACTACAGGTGCACATCATCACGCCTGGCTAATTTTTTTATTTGTAGAGATGGGTTTTCGCCATGTCGGCCAGGCTGGTCTCGAACTCTTGACCTCCGCACACCTCGGCCTTCCAAAGTGCTGGGATTATAGGCATGAGCCACCATGCCCAGCCTCTTTCAGTTTAAAATGTACAACTGAATTATTATTGACTATAGTTACCCTGTTTTGCTGTCAAATAGTAGGTTTTATTCACTTTTCCTGGTTTTTTTTTTTTTTTGGTATTTAACCATACCCCCTACACCACCCGCCTCCCCAACCACCCTTCCCAACCTCTGGTAACCATCCTTCTACTCTCTATCTCCATGAGTTCAATTGTTTTAATTTTTAGATCCCACAAATAAGTGAGAACATATGATGTTTATCTTTCTGGGCCTGGCTTATTTCACTTAACATAATGACCTTCAGTTGCATCCGTGTTGTTGCAAATGACAGGATCTCATCCATTTTTATGGCTGAATAGTATTCCATTGTGTATAAGTAGCATCCTTTTGTTTTAATTTACATTTTCAACTGACTGCTAGTGATATTGATATCTTTTCACATGGTGCAGGGATTTGTGTTTTCTCTTCTATTGTTCGTACGTGTCCTTATCTATTTTTCTACTGGGTTGTTTGTTGATTTCTTAGAAACTTATAGAAAGTCTCTTTATATTACAGACATTACTCCTTTGCCTGCCCTGTGTGATATAATTTATCTTTTCCCCCATCTGTTATTCTTTTATATTGTTTATGATATCCTCTGGCTTATAAAGTGGTTAACATTCATGAAATAGCTATGTCTTCTTGGGTTACCTGGTTTATTTTAAAAGTTATGTTCACTCCAAGGCTATAAAATATTTCCTAGTGTCCTGGGTTATTTTATTGGGAAGGGTGTTTGTTTTATATTTGAATATTTAGTACCTGTGAAATGTATTTATTTTTCCCACAATTTTATTTTGAAAAATTTCAAGCACACAGAGAACTTGATAGAATTTGGCAGAGAACAGTCATATACCTACCACCTAGATTCTAGAATTAATATCTTGGTACATTTGCTTTATCATGTAACTATTCGTCTATCCATCCCTCTGCCCATCCATCACACCATCTGTTGTTTTGTTGTATTTCCAAGTGACTTGCATACATCATTACATATCACCCCTAGCCACTTTAGCATACATGTCTCTCACATGTATTTGTTTAAGGTTCTTTTTTAAGGTAAAATGTGCATAGAGTGAAACTCACAAGTCTCAAGTGTACGTTTATAGAGGTTTTAAAAATGCACACAACTGTGTAACCCAAACTCTCATCAAGATACAGAAAATTGCCATCAAACCAGGAAGCCCCCACAACCTCATCCCTCCCCATTGCATCCTCACCCACATCCATACCCAGAGGCAACCACTGTTCTAATTTTTTTGACCATCAGTTGGTTTTATAACTTCATATAAGTGGAGTCATACAGCATATGCTTTTTGGCATCTGGTTGCTTTCACTTAGCATTATGTTTAAGAGAACCGTTCATGTTGTGTGTGAAGCAGGAGTTTATTCCTTTTATTGCTAAGTAATATTCCATGGTTTATTTGTCCATTCTCTTATTGATAGACACCAGAAATATTCTGGAATTCATTTTTCACTATGTATTGGGAGGTATATTCTCACACTGTTTTGTTCAGGTGAACAATTATGCCAACACTACTTATTAAATATATTATTCATTTTATTGAATCACACATCATCCTTGACATATTAAGTTCATTATATGAACTGTGGTTTGATTCTCAATTCTGCTTTTTTAATCTATTTATTCTTATGCTCAACTATGTTGTCATGATTATAATAATGCTAGCAAAAGTTTTCCTGTCTATATTCTGATTATAGTAATATTATTAAAAATCTTACTGTAGGCTGGGCATGGTGGCTCACGCCTGTAATCCCAGCACTTTGGGAGGCCGAGGTGGGTGGATCACCTGAGGTCAGGAGTTCGAGACCAGTCTGATCAACATGGTGAAACCCCTACCCTACTAAATACAAAAAATTAGCTGGGTATGGTGACTCATGCCTGTAATCCCAG